CAGGAGAAGGTGGGGGTTATGTAACGGTGACAAGAAAACAGGCCCAACGTAGTAGTAAATCTGCAGAGAATAAGGTGTCAAAGGCGGGACAGTGACAGGGCGGAGGAGCAGGTGAAACTAGACAAACGAGACAGAGTGCGCCGTGGATGGTTCAAATAAAGCCAACGTCATCCATACCTAAGGTACGTAGAGCGCTCATAAGCTGCGTGGTCCGGGACCTAGTGCACAGCAGAAGCAGGAGAGGCAAAGGAAATAAGGTGTACGGTTTTGTTAGTCTCGAGTGAGAGAGAAACCCAATTGGCAAGGCAAGACATTGTTTTGCCCATATTGTGTTGTGTTGTTCGTGTTTTCCCATGGCATGCACACTACACTGCCACAAAAAGTCTACTGTGGTGGGTTGCGAGTTTCTTGACCGCTGTAACCTTCCCAAAACTCCCTAGCACGACCACCAGCGAAAGCTCCAGGCCTGTTTGCGTGATTTCCTACGACTTCCGAATCAGACGTTGGTGGCCCAATTGGCGAATCCCAAGAGGCGTCGTAAATTAGCGATTACCGACCAATGTGCCCTTGTGCCCTTGTGCCCTTGTGCCACACCAAAAATCCCCCTTTTCTCCTGCTCTTGCCCTACCTACCTAGGTACTCAGGCACTACCTACAGGGCAAGGGACCTACCTGCCTTACCTGACCTGGCCCTGTTGCTGTACAGCTCCTCCCCCCCCCCCCCTATCGCCGCTTCCTCGCAGCATGGCTAAGGCAGGCACAACCCTACGACAGGCGGCAGATCAGGCCAGAAATGGCAGGTGGTGGAGCCCCGCAAAAGCCCACGGCCCCGCCACCTAGCCCAGGCGAGGTTAGTGCGCCGATCATGTCAAGCCTCTCACAACGGCTCATCGCGTCCTTCTACTCCTCCATCTCCATCCCATCACTAACCGTCCCGTCTTGTGGCCGCCGCAGAACCCTTCCATAGCCTTGGCCTTCGTGGCTTGACTCGGCCTTGTCGGTTGTCGGCATTAGCAGACGACAAGACGGGTCATTTCAGACAAGCTCTCCGCCACCCGAACGCCAACGATGCGGAAACACGATATGACGATCGCAGCTTCTCCTTCCCTAGATAGGAAGCTCGAATACCCCTTGGCAACTGGCTCGCCCGGTGCAACCTTGAAAGGTCTGCAGTGTCTTCCACCATCGTCCCCCTCCCCCGTCATGTCAGGTCCATGGCACGGCGCGGCGTGCTGAGGTCGTACCGATGGCATCAGAGCTCGCCATGTTCATGTCACCTCTAGCAATCTAGAGCAAGAACAAGCCAGGGGTCGCTAGGTTAATCAGCGCACGCACCTAGCCGAGTCGGCGCCATGATGCATCCAGAGTCACCAGCCTGCCTAGTTGGGTAGGTCGGAAACAATATGAGCTCGCCATGCGACGACAGCGCGGCGCACCACGACAGGCTTGCCGCATCTTGAATGGAGAAGGTCGCCTCATTTAAGGGCACGCCGTCTCGCCCGCTGGACTGCTTCGGCCCCTCCCCTCTCCCCCCTCCCTCCGATCCTCGTCCGCTCTTTCGTGTCTCAGCCCGCATTCTTTCGGGTAGAACAACGCACCTTGGGATCCTAGGTCTCAGTCACATACAGTTACAGCATCCTAAGCTGCTGCGTGTGTTGAATTCCTCGCCATGGCCCGCTTCCTCCGTGTCATCGCCGTCGCCGCGGCGCTGGCTACCAGCGCCTCGGCCCTCGACCCTCCCCGCCCCCCGACCCAGCCCGTTGGTGGTGGAGAGCGCCTCATTACATACCAGGAGAGCCGCAGCGGTGCCTTCGCGGCCAGCTCGCGCGCCGTCAGCTGGGTCGATGGTACCGACGACGGCCGGTACATTTTCGCCAACACGGCAGGTCTCGTCTTTGAGGACATTGTCTCCGGTGAAAGCGAGACCTTTGTCCCCGCCAGCGCCCTGCCCGCCGACTACAGGGACTACTGGATCCGTCCGGACCTGAAGAAGGTCCTGTTCGCCACCAACGACACGAAGCAGTACCGTCACTCCTTCTTTGCCGACTACCAGATCCTCGACGTCGAGTCGGGCGAGCTGACCCCACTGGTTGCTGACCAGGCTGGTGATATCCAACACGCCGAGTTTGCCCCCGCTGGCGACGCCATCGCCTTTGTCCGCGGTAACAACCTGTACCTGAACAAGGGCGGCGAGGTGACCCAGATTACCAACGATGGTGGCCCTGATCTGTTCCACGGCGTGCCCGACTGGTCTACGAGGAGGAGATCTTCGGCGACAAGAAGGCTCTCTGGTCTCCCCTGATGGCGAGTATGTCGCCTACCTGAGTTTCGACGAGACCGGTGTCGAGACCTTCACCATTCCTTACTACATGGACGGCCAGAAAACGGCCCCCGTCTACCCCCGAGAGCTCGACCTCCGCTACCCCAAGGTCGGCACCACGAACCCTACCGTCAAGTTCTCCCTGCTCGAGGTTGACTCGGGTGAGTCGACCACTCTCGAGGTCGATGCCTTTGCTGCCGATGACCTCATCATCGGTGAGGTCGCCTGGGTCACCACCAACCACACGAGCGTTTTGTACCGCGCCTTCAACCGTGTCCAGGACCAGGAGAAGGTTGTCCGGGTTGACGTCGAGGACCGCAAGTCGACAACCATTCGCGAGCGTGACGGCTCCGACGGCTGGCTGGACAACCTCCTCGCCATCCAGTTCGTCGGCAGGCTGAACGGCACTTGCGACCCTTACTACCTCGACATCTCTGATGTGTCTGGCTGGAAGCACCTGTACCTCTACCCCGTCAAGGGCGGCGAGCCCATCGCCCTGACGGAGGGCGAGTTTGAGGTTGCCTCGGTGCTCAAGGTCGATACCAAGAAGCGCCTGATTTACTTCACCTCGACTGAGCGTCACAGCACTGAGCGCCACTTGTACTCCGTCTCTTACCCTGGTGGCGTCAAGAAAGCGCTTGTCGATGACACTGTTCCTGGGTACTTCGGCGCTTCCTTCTCTGCCGCTGGTGGCTTCTACATTCTGAACTACCTCGGACCCAATGTTCCCTACCAGGAGCTTTACGCCACCAACTCGACGAAGCCCCTGCGTACCATTACGACCAACGATGCCCTCATCGCCAAGATTGCCCAGTACAAGCTGCCCAACATCACGTACTTTGAGCTTGAGCACCCCGAGGGATACTCCCTGAACGTCATGCAGCGCCTGCCTGCCAACTTCGACCCCAGCAAGAAGTACCCTGTCGTTTTTACCCCCTACGGCGGCCCCGACGCCCAGGAAGTTCATAAGCGATTCCAGGCCATTAATTGGCGCGCCTACATTGCTTCGGACCCTGAGCTCGAGTACATCACCTACACTGTCGACAACCGTGGCACAGGCTGGAAGGGCCGCGAATTCCGCGCCACTGTGGCCTCCCACCTTGGCCGCCTCGAGCCGCTCGACCAGATCTGGGCCGCCGAGCAGCTCATTGCCGAGTACGATTTCATCGACGCCGAGCACATTTCCATCTTTGGCTGGTCCTACGGTGGCTTCCTGGCCGCCAAGACCCTCGAGGAGAACTCGGGCGTCTTCACCAGCGGTCTGATTGTCGCGCCCGTCACCGACTGGCGCTTCTACGACAGCATGTACACTGAGCGTTACATGAAGACCAGCCAGATGAATCCTGATGGCTACAATGAGACTGCTGTGACTGACACCACTGGTTTCAAGAACCTGGCGGGCAAGGCGTACATTGCGCACGGCACTGGTGACGACAACGTGCACTACCAGAACACCGCTGCCCTGGTTGACCTTCTCGTCGGCAATGCTGTACCGCACGCCAAGTTCAACTGGCATGCGTTCACCGATAGCGACCACAGCATTGTGTACAACGGCGCTGGTGCTTTTATCTACAAGGTCCTGACAGAGGCCCTGTATGCTGAGAAGAACCGCAAGGGCGACCCCCTGAAGCACCAGTGGAGCCGCAAGTCTGTGGCGAACGCCAAGTTCGTCTACGAGTACTGAGCGTATCTCGAGGAGGGGAGGGTCCGAACAGGATAGCCTTTGGTCGTAATTATAGTATAATAATGAACATGAATCCCGTACACTATGAGCATTTGGAAACTTTGGCGCACCAGAGTGACGAGCGATGTACCTGGACCGCCTGAGGATGACGTCGCTCCTTCGTTTGTCATCACGTGACAGCGCGTCACCCGCCAATTTGTAAAGTGAACGCGCCTGAAGCCTGAACGCGCACGGGTCAGGAATTAGCAACTGGTCACCAGCTGAAGTATCACAATCACCATTTCATCAGACCCCAATCTGTGAAACATCCAAAAGGGGAATGCGATACGTTGTTCCTTCATATCTCATTGCAAACTTAAACCCAGTCCCTAACTCGCGCAGAGGAAGATGGCGGACGACTACGACTCGGGCGACGACCTCTTTGACGGGCTGAACGAGGATGCGCTCCTGCAGAGCTCTCAGGCCCAGACCCCCGCCAAGCGTCCCCTCAACGAATCCGACGGAAATGCCGTGTCAAGAGCTCAATCGGATGAAAACCCCTCGAAACGCCCGCGTATTGGCAATTCAGACACGGATGGCGGCTCGTCCTCTTCGTCGAAGCTCGCTCTTGCGACGAGCATCTTGAAGGAAAATTTTGGCTACCCTGCTTTTCGACACGAGCAGGCGGCGGCCATTGAGAGGATCCTTCACGGGGAGAACAGCCTCGTTGTGTTCCCGACGGGAGCGGGCAAGTCGCTCTGCTACCAGGTCTGGCCCTCATCCCCTCACGCGCCCTCTTTCCCCCCTCTGCCGAGTCTGGCATCTCCTGAACGGGCATGATGTGCTAAATGTAGGTTGCAGATCCCAGCCATCGCTTTCGAGGCCATGGACCGCGAGACCGGCGATAGGGAGGAGGGCGACTCGGGCGTGACCATCATCGTGTCGCCGCTCATCGCCCTGATGAAGGACCAGGTCGACGCCCTGCAGCGGAGGGGGATCGCGGCCGAGTGCATCGACTCGACCAAGTCGTGGGAGCAGATCCAGGACATCAACGCCTCGCTGCGGAGCGGCAAGCTGAGAATGATCTACTGCGCGCCAGAGCGGCTGAACAATGAAATGTTTGTCGAGAACATGAAGTATGTGCGTGGCGGCGTCAGACTTCTTGCTGTGGATGAGGCGCATTGTATTTCCGAGGTGGGCCACTTCCCCCCCCCCTCCCGCTTTTCGGTGAGAGAGTCGCATGGGCTGAGACTGATGATGCATAGTGGGGACACTCTTTCAGGCCGGACTATCTAAAGGGTATAGTCGTTCACCTATTTACTACGGGTGACTTTGGTTTGCTGACTTGATCCAGTTGCGCGCTTCGTTGATGAGATCAAGGCGGAGAAGGTTATCTGCCTGACGGCTACCGCGACTCCCGTCGTTGCCGATGATATTTGCAACGCTTTTAGTATTTCCAAGGACGGCGTCTTCAGGACATCGCCCTACCGCCCCAAGTACGACTTCTCCCCCTGCTCCCTGATGATCAGCTGCTGATGTGCTCAGTCTTCGGCTCGAAGCTGTGGCGACAAGCAAGCAGGAAGAGAAACGAGATTTACTTCTTGCCTACCTGAAGGAGCACAGGGGCTCGACCCTTGTATATGTGACGCAGCAGAGGGTAAGTAGAGTTGCATCGCTTCTCAGGATGAATGGCTAATTGAACTTGTCAACAGCAAGCCGAGGATCTGGCGCTTGACCTCAAAAAGCAAGGTTTCAAAGTCCAGGCATTCCATGCCGGCATGAAGACGGAGGAGAAGACCCGGATCCAGGATGCATTCATGGCATCGAAAGTCGATATTGTGAGATGACATGCACGTTTCTGCCTTTAAATCGTATCATGGCTGACTTGGAAAAACCAGGTCGTTGCTACAATTGCGTTTGGCATGGGCATCGACAAATCCGGTATGCTGAATGGCCAACACATGAAGGGATTTGTTTTACTGACCCACACAGACATCCGAAGCATTATCCACTGGGATTTGTCAAATACCGTGGAAGAGTACTGCCAGCAGGTTGGTCGTGCTGGTCGAGACGGCAAAGAGAGCCATTGCATGCTCTACCTGTGTCCGGAGGATTTTTATGTCAAAGAGGCCTTTGCCCGAGGTGACCTTCCCTCCCGTCAATCCCTCCGAGGTCTTCTCAAAGACATATTCAGCCCTGAGGTTCTGAGTCTATCAGTTGGCGACACATTCAAGACGAGTCATCACCCTCAGACGACGGAGTTCGACATTCGCATGAGCCCCTTGAGCATCATCTACGCGGCCCTCGAACTGCGTTTCAAGCTCATTCGTGCCATCACCCCCGAATATAGCTCTTACACCTTCGAAGCCAACAATGTCTACTACCCTCGCCTCAAGAATGACAAGAGCCCTGAGGCTGCCGCCATCTTGAACAATGCGAAGAAAGCCAAGAAATATCACAGCATCGACCCCACCGCTGTCTCCAAATCGACCGGCATCCGTCGTAACGACCTGATCAAATATCTCAACAAGCTCAATGACACGGGCTGCATCAAACTCAAGGTCAGCGGCGTCCAGAACAAGTACAAAATTCTGAGCAAACTGCCCGGCACAGACAGGGAGATTGACGAACTGGTGGAGAAAGTCTACGCGGACCTCGAGCTGCGCGAACAGCAAGCCCTAGACAGAACGCAGCAGCTCATCAAGCTCGTGACGGCCAAGAAATGCTTCGCACTCTCCCTCGCCCAGCATTTTGGCATGGAGCTCCCCGGGCAGGCGACGCAGTGTGGGCACTGCACCTTCTGTGTGACAAAGAAGGCTGTTGAGCTGCCGGCGCCGGCGCGAAAGCCGTTCGATTTTGAGGCGGCCGAGAAGGTGCTCGAGGCTACTGATGTGCGTGATGATCCGAGATTCTTGGCGAGGGTCGCGTTTGGGATCAAGAGCCCGCGCGTGACGAGGCTGGGGCTCGACAAGAAAAAGATCTTTGCGTCCATGGCGGAGAGCGATTTCGAGGTATGTTCTCCATTGATGCATTTGAGATGACTGGCTGACATATCCTAGGCGTTGCTGGCCGAGTTCACGAAGGTCTGCAAATAGAGTGCTTCGTGCTCCCAAGCAAAGAATCAAAGGTGGCAGTGAGGATCAAACAGTGTGACTTTGACGATCACGTATGGGCCAGAATGGTCCTGAATGCACATTTGCAGTGACAGAAGCACTATGTGGGCATCGCATGAACCAAACGCAGGCTAGTTTATTACACGGCATGTACAAGATGCTCAACAGCCGAAACAGAGGCATGGAGTGGCAATCGCTCGTCACAAACACACTCATCGCGGACGCTCCCTCACATGGTCCAGCCATTTATCCACAGTCTTCAGAAGCGGGTCCCCCGCGTGTCGATTGGAGCCAGACTTGCTCCTCGACTTTGCACCCTTTGCAACGTCGCGCACCATGTTCCTCTCCCGTTGTGACGTGGTTTGCGAAGCCGTTGATCGCGGCGCAGCGTAGTGACGGACCATAGCGCCAGCCACGCCGTTCTGGACAGACGGCTGCGTGAGCGTATCGCTAGGGGTAGAGGCGAGGCCGTGTCTTTGGGGAAGCGTGGGCTGCATCATCTGTTGCTCCGAGGGGCTCACCAGGAGCATTGGCCTCAAGGGCGTCATTGGATTTTCAGGCTGGTATGTCAGGTCTTGTCCGATTTCTACAACGGCTGGCGCCTCATAGGAGCCGACGGGGACGAGGACCGGGATGATTTGTCCGTATGTTTGAGTCATTGGTGCTATTTGCAACTGCGCGGCCGGTTCAATTGGTGGGCACACGAGTCCCAATGTCGAGGCGGTCCTGGGGTGGGTGAACTCATATTCCAAGTTGTCTGGTATCGGGATGATCAGCTGCCTGTCAAAATCTGGCTACTCGAGCGCTCATGTACGAACCACCATCTATTGGCTGTCGGCACCGGTAGAAGAAACCCCTCGTATCATAGACCCATGCTGACCAGGGGCCGGGCTCTCTGGGATCGATATCGGTACAGTCAATTGCAACGTCGCCTTGTGCTTCTGTCTCGTCTGCTGCCGCCTCTTCTTCAGGTTCGAGTTGCTGAGGGTCTTCGGATGGTTGCCGATGCTTCTTCTCTTTGCGTCGATGGCTATGTTTGCTATGATGACACCTGTGCTGAGAGGGATGTCCCATCTTCCGACTCGAGGGTAATATGTTCTGTTATTCTGCGTCAGGCTATCAATATTCTAATTGCATTCGTTACGCGGCCAGAACAGACGCCGGTGCTGCAGGCAGGCGGGCTCGGCATATTTATGTCACTGAGAAAGGGCAGTGCTAGACAGCGTAGGATATCAGATCTCACAGCCGCGAAAATCCGACCTCAATTGGAATATGTCTCTTCGGTCAATAAATCAGGCAGCGAGAGCGAGAGGGGGGTAACCTCGGGCAGCCTTGCCTTTGGCTGGGCTTTCAGTTCAACAGCTGCAAGCCACCAGAAAGGGTGAGGCGCTGCCGAGACGATGTGCACTTGTACATGCGTAGACGGGGCTGGCCTCCCATGTATGATGACAGGGGCTGAGTGATACATGGTGGGAATGTCATCCCTCTTTGTCATTTCACCTGCGGCTTTCGTGGGACGCTGTTGGGAAGCACACGGAGTGATTGCTCGCTGGGGTTGGGGGGGGGCTGAGAGTTTAAACGGTTCGCAGAGGCAATCAGATGGAGGGTTTAGGCAGTGGTCAGGCATACAGGTCAATGCATTGTCTGCGAAACACATTCGTCCATGCCCTGAAAGCTGGCAAGCTAAGAGATTTGTGGCTTCATTGGCATGGTCTCAACATGCGTAGTGAATGCTCCATGATTAGTCGGCATGATCCCAGGTCATGCAGGCAAGCTTTCTCAATTGGTGTCAAGGTAAAAGCACCCGTACTAGCTAGGATGTTTCTCATATGTCATATTGGCTTGAGACCTGACGATAGCTAGCTTGGGTCAGAAGGAAAGCCACATTTCCTGTGAGCTCAGCGTCACATGTCGTGTTAACACCACCTGCAGGCAACCGCTTCTTGTAGCAAGACGACGTTATTCTGATGTTGGAACCGCGAGAACAGCAACTTACCCCTCGGTGCAGTTCTCAATGCTCTCTGCAAGCCGACAATGGCAGGCAACTAGTTCGGCTCATACCCTTCCGGCAGTGGCCTCTCCTCCACCCAGGCCAGGACACCACGTGCGAAGAGTTCCGGAAACTGCAAATCCCAAGCATGCAAGGCGTCTCGGACAACGACAGACCTTGACCCGTCGTCCAGTCTCTGGCCGCGAATAATCCTGTTCTCCAGCACTTGGCCAGCCAGCTTGCTAGCGCCCACGTCATCCTGCCTCCCACCAGCCACCATCAGTGTCCGGGCCTCAATCTTGCCCACGTCCTCGAGACGATATCGAGCGATGGTGGAAAACTCGTCACGGAGCATAGCCAATTGGCAGTTCTTTCTCATCTCGACGAGCAGATCATCATGCCGCCGCAAGCCCATCCAAGCGGCGTAGCGCCAGTAGAGCGCATCCGGAAGACCCAGAAGCGACCATGTAAAGCCGTATATCAGGGAGGGATACTGCGACGCGCGCAGTCTGAGGCCTTGAAACGGCTCGGCACCCGTGACGAAGAGGGATGTGACGAGCGAAGGATGTCGCATGGCGGTGACCTGGGCCGCGAAGCCTCCAAAAGAGAGGCCGACGACGTGGGCTTTCCCACCGTGCGCGTTGACCGATATAAGATCGGCCACGTGGTCCGCGACGTTCTCGAGTGATACCAGCGGTATGTGGATCGATTCCGAATGCTGCGGCAGGTCTGGCAGCAGCAGGTGATACTCTGAGAGGAGGGGAATGACGTCTGCGTATTCGAGATGACAGGAGAGTCCTCCGTGTAACAACACGATGGTAGACGGCTTTTCGATATTTAGCGAAACGAAGGCAAGCATCGGCCTCCGCAGTGATTCTCCGTGCGCCATGATTCGTCTTGCTACTGGTGAGCTTGGTCACGTCGAGCTGAGACGGGGAGGGAGTTCGGGTAGACAAGGCTGTCAGTCAGTTGAGGTGATATGAAGTGAATGATTAGCGCTGACCACGGCTCAGCTGACAGGTGTACGGAGCTGGTTCCGAACGACCCAGCCGACAGACCGACACCAAGCAGCAAGTTCTTGCCCTGTACCTCAACCATCACGAATACAGCGGCCGTTGAAACATTGGTATTGATTTGACTCTGCTTCCTGACCGGCTTTCCTCGAACACGGCGCCATGGTTGGCGGCCTTCGGGACCAAACTATGCAAACACGCCGAACACCGCCCGGGACCCCGTGATTTCCCCAACACACAGCCTGAGCCAATTGATCAAGTGCGCCTCGTGGATCGGCATCCTGTCGTACACCTCTCCCTGTACGAGAGGCCATGGCCAAATTCAAATAGCGGGTCTTCGGTGTCAAAAGGCAAATCCTCCTTCGAAGCCTCGACAGCAGCCATCGACCGCGGCATGTCAAAGGGCAACTTGCCCTCCGGCAACCAGCCGTCGACGCCAAAAACGATGTCGAGGAATGCATCGTGACTGCTCCCGTAGTTCCCCATCAGCGCGGCAGCTGCCTCTGCAATCTCGGGCACAGCAGGTGGCCTGTTGAACTTGATGTCGACCACCGTCGGGACCGTAGCGTAAATCTCTGCCTGGCGCGCCTTTTCTGTGACGTTGAACTCGATGGAGCCGTTGTTGATGCTGGCTGCCAGCCCCGAGGCCGTCGTCGGCTTGAAGGGCGACGGGAGGCGGAGGAAGGCATAGTCGGCTTCCTCGGAAGTACCAACGACCTTGAGGTTACGGGCCTCAAGGGCTGCCGGATCCATGCCCTCGACGTAAAAGCTGGCGTTGAGCGCCGACTGGGGCAGAGGCAGGAATTCGTCCGGGTTCGTGAGGAGGGTGAAAGCCCTGCGCTGCGTCTCGTTACCGAGGCGGCTGAAGTACTCATTGCCCACGACCCTTTCAGCGGCGTCGACATTAACAAACGGGTTATCGAAGAGGCCGAGCTCGAACTTTTCCTTCATGAGCTTGCGGACGGAGTAATCGATGCGCTCTTCTGCGATTTGCCCGTTGTTCACAAGCTGGACGATCAGCTCGGGCTTCGTCTCGCCACCGAAAATGTCAATGCCAGCCTCGAGGGCCTTGCGCGCACGCTCCAGCTCGGTCAGGTCCTCGACGCCCCAGAAGCGCGTGGTGACGACACCCCAGTCGGATACGACGATGCCTTCAAAGCCGAGCTCATTCTTGAGAAGGTCCGTGATGACGCCCTTGTTGAATGCAAATGCGACTTCTTCCCATTCGGTGTCGATCGGGCGGGAATAGTAGGGCATCATCTGGCGGGTGCCAGCCTTGATCGCGGCACGGAAGGGGATGAGGTGGTATTCCTGATTGTTGCCAGGATAGGTCTGATTCTTGCCCTGCTTTGAGTCAGAAGAACATTCTGTGACGCAGCGTTGTTGCAGAAAGCCTGCCTACCCATTCAAAGTGCGAATCCTCGCCATTCTCCATAGGGCCACCACCGGGGAAATGCTTCGTCGTAGTGATGACTGAGTGCGGTCCGATTTTGTCGCCCTGGAAGCCCTTGATATACTCCACCAGCAGGGTGCTCGTGAGGTTGGCGTCCTCGCCCATTGTCTGGGCGTTGCGTCCCCAGCGCGGCTCGGTGATGATATCGACAGTCGGGTGAAGCGCCTGCCTGATCCCCACGGACACGTACTCCTCCCGCGCAATCTTGGCGAATTCGAGTGCCAGCTCAGGCGACCGGAGCGCTGCGATACCCAAGGGTTCCGTCCACCGTGAGAACGAGGCGGCCACATTCGATACAGCCGTGTCGTCAGTCCATCCGTGCTGCGGGTCTGACGAGAGGGTGATGGGGATACCGAGGCCCTCGTCGCGAGAAAACTGCTGCAGTGCGTTTTGCCATTCTGCCACGACACGAGCGTCGTTGACGCCACCGCTGAAGACGTAGTGAGTGATGTGCTTGTCGGCGACGTATGACTTGATGTTGGCGTCGAATGTATCATTGATTAGAGAGGTGCGGGCATGGAACATTTGCCCCGCCTTCTCCTCAAGGGTCATGCGGGAGAGGAGATCATCCACCCGCTCATCGATGCATCGTGTTGAATCCCAGTAGGGAAGAATGTCTGCCCCGGAGACAACAGGAAGGACTGCCGAGGCGGCACTTAGAAGAATAGCGGTCTTCATGTCTGGGTTGCGGTCATGTGAAATCAGAGTCAGTGTGAGGCGATGGGCTCATGTGTCGACAACAATGGCAACCACCTGAGAGGGAGCCGGGCAGGTATATATGCTTCAGCACAATCATATTCGGGTTCGTGGATTATGATCAAATCAATATGAACACACGAGTCATGGTTGCCGCTGGGCGTGAAGCTTTCCGTGTTGTTGAAGGCCAGATCAGACACCATCTTGCACCTGTATTCGGTCCGAGAACGCTGACCTTTGGCGACCTGCATCTTGAGAGGTGGAGTTGAAGAGATCCCAATACTTGGGTGTCTCGAGCCGCGAGAGCAAGATTTGCCGGTCACCCTGGCGACATGGAGCAGTTCATGAACCTAATGACGGCCAACCCCCCGGCGGATGATGATGCCAAGATCTCGAGCTTTTACATGGCTGGTCCACTTGAGTACGGCGAGAAGCCAAGGTCTCGACGTCAGTGGAAGCATGATTTCTCGGTGCCGACTCAGAGATCCGATAGCCCGCCGTGACGATCCTCTAACGCTAGCCTGGTGTTGCACACATGGCGGGGTTTAAGCGCCTTGGCAGCCGGGGAACCATTCGTGTTCTGGCAAAGACCTCTCGTAAACGGGCCCATCTTGCGGGGTAGAATGGACCACTGCAACGACCAAGATGTTAAACAAACGACATCGCTCCTCTCCTGCCCACCTCTTCTCGGGCCTTTTACAATGTGGCGCATGCTGTCGGTTGCCCTAAGCTCCGTGCTCCGTGGACCGTCACCGTGGCATACGCACCGGAGGCCGATGCGAACCGCGGGGTTTGGTCCGACAACAATGG